GAAGAAAAGTGCCAGGTAAGTGCCAAGTAACTGCACCAAGTGTGTGCTGAGTCATGAATGTTACCTTAGTGATAACAAAATTGGCAATACTGATTTACAAAATATAAGAGATGAAGGCAAGAAATGGTAGAAGTGTGTTTTGATCCTGGCTGAGCTCAGAGGATGTGAATGTACACAGTGTGAAACTTAGGGCCCCTCTAGATGTGCAGGTAAAGGCGCAATGGGATCTGATGTGTGATCCACACAGTTGAGCTTCTTGCTATGTCACACATGCCTGGCAGGTGGCATGACTGTGGGATTGCTCATCAGATCCCATCATGTCTTACTGGTGGTGCGGGGGGAGCCCAGAATCATGATCCTGGGTTCCCCCTGCACTGCTGAACAGCAAGCTCTTGCAGCTGAGAGCCCCACAGAGGGGCACCATGCACTTCAGTGGCTGGGAGCCCTGTCAGCTTGCCCAGGCTCACAGCTGCAAGGGTGCTCCAGGAGTCCCCACAGCTGGAGGCCATAGCTGACAGGCTTCTAGTCAGAGGGGCTCCTGGAGTGCTCCCACGGCTGGGAACCCATGTCAGCTGCAGACTGCCAGCTGTGGGGACACATGGGGCACCCCTGCAGCTGGGAGCCTTGTCAGTTGATGGGGCTCCCAGAGGCAGGGGCTCTTGGCTACACATTCAGTTAATGATGTGATAGGAACCAGCCACAAAGTTATCGCACATATTTTGTGAAATAACTTTATGGCTTATTCCTCCTTTTATCACACCATTAATTGATTGAACATGTGGCTGGGTGAGAACTTAATTGGTTAATTACATCTTAATTGTAACATGTGGCTGGGGCGTTAGGGGCAGAATCCCAATTGGCTCCTTAGGTGCCTGCAATTTAGGTTTCAGCTTGATTAAAATTCAGAAAGTTGATTTAAAGAAACAGGAAGGTGCCTTGGCTCTCTCTAGGGTGAGGGAAAGGATGGTGCCTCTGAAGGGCAATTCAGTGGGCCCAGATACTGAACAGGGAATAGGCTGGAATGAGCCAAAAGGAAATGTTAAGTACCAAGCTGAACTCCTGCCTCTTCCTGAAGCTTGACTGCCTGACTCTGGGCTGTATATTAGGCACCCCTGCCTTCTCAGGATCCAGGGCAGAGTCGTCCTCTGAGTCTAGGACCAACAAAGACCATCTCTTTTTAAGACGCACCCAGAGGAGGATAGGCCAATAGTATAGGGGCTGCTTGCTGCACATGTTTTGTGCAATAGCCTTCTAGTTAGAGCACTTACCAATACAATGGGAGTGGGCCCTTTTCAGTCCCTGAGGCGATTCAAACCCATGCCTCCCACATCCTAAGAGAGTGCTTTATCCACAAGTCTATAGAAGAAGCTGACTGGGGATGCTAAACCACTGGGCAGCCAAGAATGGAAGAGCTATCATGTCAGAAAGAAAGCCAACAAGAGTGAGCGTAAGTCTGTAACCCCTGGAAGAGGGGAGCCCTGGGTTATGGTCACTGGTTCCAGATTTAGTTATGCATTGTTAAAAAAAAAAAACAGAAGTAATCCTCAGAGGGCCTAGCAGGTGAGACTGTGATGATTCTGTGCCTGTGCAGAAGCCTGTCTTTGGGCATCCCAGCACCTTTACTGCCCAAAATGCAGGCACTGAGTGAGCTTAGGCTTAGGTACCTGTTGAGTTTTGTGGCGGCCAGAGTGGGGTCGATTTGATCTGGTTTTCTGCAAATTAGGCACCTAAATTCCATCCAGGTCCCATTTAGAATCATAGATAATGAGGGTCAGAAAGGACCTCAGGAGGTCACCTAATCCAACCTCCTACTCAAAGCAGGACCAGCCCCAACTATCATCCCAGCTAAGACTTTGTCTACCTGGGTGTTAAAAACCTCCAAGGACAGAGATTCCACAGCCTCTCTGCGTAGCCTGTTCCAGTGCTTTACTACCTTGCTCATGAGATGATTTTTCCTAATCTCAAACTTAAACTTCCCTTACTGCAACTTCAGACCATTACTCTTTGTTCTGGTATCTACTTTATTGATCCTAGGCAGAATGAACCAGTCTGGATCTTGTCCTAGCTGTGGTGAACTAGCATGCATTTCTCCTCCGCCTCCAACATACTTCCAGAGCAAGAGCATGTATCCAACCATTGCTGAGCTGGTGCATTGCTCTCACTCTGAGCACAGGCACGTCTCCTGGGCTGGGTGAGCTACTGGATATTTAATTCATAGTGCTCTTATCTTTGGAGAGGGAGTCTAGTGAGTTTGATACAGAGCTCCCATTGTGCTCTGAGCCAGAGAGTGTGAATCCTGGCACGGAGGAAAAGCTCTTTGCATGCTCCTGCTGAGAATTTGAACTCTGGCTTTAGTCCTACTGTAATTACAGTTTATTCAATTTAGAAGCGGTTATTGCACGCGCTTCTCGGAACAGCCTTTCAGCATTGGATCCTCTCCGTGGAACAGCTCATGGTCAAATTACTTCATTACCAAGCAGGGTAGTTCCATCCACTTCTGCTTAGCTTGACAGGCAGCCCTCCCCCACCACATCCAGTTATAAATTGACACCATATAATTTGTGTGTCACTTGATACAAGACTCTGTTTATTTTAAAGACAATAATTAGAGATAACAATTGCTATAGAAAAATAAACATCTGCTCAATGAGAGGATTGAGTAATTAAGGCCAATTATTGGTTTCCATAAGCAAGATGTTCTGCCACAAAGTTACCGCAAATGCAGCTAAGAAGAAAGGAGGAAGCATATTGTAGAGAGCTGTAAAGTTTTGTACTAAGAAAACTTGGTGAAATAAATAGGAGCAGTTAAGAAGAAATTATCCAGGCATTTCTTTCCAGAATCGTATTTTTGATGCAATTCTGCTGGTATTAATACTTAGAACTTACACAGGGCTTTAGCTTTTTTTTTTCTAAGTTCTTTATAAGGATTAATCAATTAATCCTCCTAGAATCCCTGTGAGGTAGGGAGGTAAGTATTATTATCCGTATTTTACAGCTGTGGAAATTGAGCCTCTGTGGGCCAAATACTAATCCCTTTTACACCATCATAGACCCAAAGTGACTTCACTGAAGTAAGTCATTGGAGCTCTCCTGGGTAACTCAGCTGATTTGACCTCAAAGGAAACAGTGTTAGAGAATGTATTTGAGGATAATTGTTGACAGCAAGCCCCTGGGCACATGTTCATTTAATGGCATGATAGAATCCAATCCCTGATCCCAACAATCACACTTCCTGCTATGCCATCTGTATGTGGCAGGACAGGTGATTTGGGATCAGGGATCAGATGATTACTCCTTGCCAGTGCAGGGCTCCCCCAGCACCAATAAGTTGAATGCTGGTTGCCCACAGCCCGGTGTGCACCATGCAGTTCCCAGGCTGGAATTAACAGTCATCTCATTGTCATTCCCAGATCTGAGGCTGCACCCGACCCAGCAAAAGCAAATGCCAACTTCTTTGGGTATATGCATTCTCTTGTGTGTAGGCTCGCGTTTCAGTGTGTGCTAAGTATGCACGCAAAGCTATGTTGAGACTCCTTTAAAAAAGATGCCACTTCACATGCATCCGAGCTAGAGTGCTTGTGCCTGGTTTAACTCATATTAATTTATTGCTAGTGCCAGATGCAGAGCTGGAGGAAATCACAAATGTTTGTGTCTTGGAGTGTCTAGGTTAATGTTTTCAAAGGTGTCTGTTGATTCAAGTTAATTGGCAATTAGTTAACTCAAGTTTGAAGCAAGTGCCTCTAGTCTAAATATGCCTATAAGTGCTAATTTAACCAAACAAGGTAACATTGGCTAGACAGGGCACTTTAGTTCATTGCTCTGATCAGAACTGTTGGTATTCTCCCTTTATATCCTGTACCCGGGACGTAGTGGCTAACTTAAGGCACTGGGCCAAGCTGCTCTATTGGGAACTCAGAGCAACCAGCGTCTTCTGTGTTTCATTACCTACAGGGATCTGAGTGGTGATTTGCTTTTTGTTTTTTAAGCCCCTTTGTCTCCAGTCTCTCCAGTCTTGGGGTCTCTTCAAAGGGGACAGCAGTGCATGAGAGAGAGTCTACATGAGCTTTGAGATATTGACTGGGGTTCACTGGGGTTTTGCATGAAACCATGGAAGCTTTTGGATGTGGATAGGATGGACCTCCTGAAGTTCCAAAGGAGCTGCTGGGGCATGCAACAAAAATGACCAGCACTTTCATTCTCCATGTGATGTTTCTGAACTTGCTACACAAATTATGAGGCAAACAAAAGATTCTTCTTTGTATGGTACTCAGACAAAACTCCCATCAAAGTCCTTGCGGAATTGTGTCAAAGTAGGTTCTGTAGGCCAGATCCTCTTCCACCTATGATATGAGGTGCCTGAGTGTGATCTAAGTCCACCTCGCCTGAAAAATGTTTAAGGACATAAATGGGTAGTCTTCCCCCTACTTGCTGTTTGGTGTGACTTCATTTTAAGTCTAAGATGATGGCACAGGATCACACTTAAGCATCCAAGTCCACTGAGGTATGTAATAGGTGGAGTAGCATCCGGCTCTGAGTATTGCATTGCAGGATTTGGCCAGTTATGTCTCATTTATGCCACTGATTTCACAAGGATTAGCATTTGATCATAACTGCTTCCTGTATCCATGAAGTACTCACTTCTGTGACTCTTGGGCTCTGGTATTTCATTGAAAGTGTCTGAAAACTGAAAACTTATTTGTACGTTGCTTCTCTAGATGCACTGCACAGCACTTGTGCCGATTTATATGCCAGGAGTTACCTAGCACAATTGGGCATTTATGAACCATTCTGTTCCCACTGGAGAGATAGTAACTGGTAGCTAAACAATAAACATTTTAAATGGCAGTCGACAGTCTTTGCAGTGCTGTCACAAATTAAACTGTCCCTCTCTTCCCTGCTAACTTAGTATTGAGTGTAATGGTGCCTGATATTTGAAATAAACTGAATTGCCTAAAATCACTGGGAAAAAAAACCCTAAGTGGCTTTAAAAACCTAGGTGGATACACAGAGCTGTTTCCCATATACATGGATGGGTGCATGAACTGCACTCATTTATTCGTTTCCGCTCATATACTTGAGCCACACTCATTTACATCAGCTGATGATCTTGCCCAGATTTAAATGGTGCTTTAATGCTCTGTAGATGTGGAGGCACTTTTTAACAAAAGGAATAACATTAAAATCAAGCTGGGCATATCAGAGCGAGCTCCGACAATAGAATTGCCCTTCAGTACTCCATTCTCACAGCAGTGAAGATTACAAGAAATAGACAGTAGCTGGTGTTAATTTTATAGGCCATCATGTTAATCCGCTTATTTTTTGATCAGCAATTTAAGTTCCAATAGCTTTCATAATATGGAGATTTATCAACACTCATACACATGGCATTGGGTCATTTTCCTTTCAGTGAAATACCTCCATTTTTATTAATGGGACAGAATGGTTTATGCTAAGTTCTTTTATTTAACTAAAATTCTTCTTGACTCTATAATGCATTATTGCTGCATTGGCTTGTAAAAATAAGAGCAATGAATCATGTCTATGGAGTCCCATAACACTCGCAAAATTGGAGAAGTCTTGTTCAGAGACTGTAGCATAAACATAACATTTAAAGGGCAGTGTTAATTCTTAATTCAGGATTTTTATTGGTCTCTTCCAAAATGAGGATTTGTCTACTCCTGGCAACAGAAGAAGATACCAAGGTTTGGATGTTTCTGGGCAAAAGTAACTTCTATATTGCCTGTTCAGTATCTCTCACAGAAGAGGAGAGACAGGACTTGATGTAATAAATATAATGTGCATATATTGGGGCTAATCTTCCTGTACGAATCTGTAATTTTCTAGCTCTTAGAATAGTACACTGCACACAGATCCCTATTTTCCACTGTCCTGCACCTTATGTTTTCATCTACACCTGTGCAAAGAAAGATATTAAAATAAGCTATTTTATTATGGTAGGGTCTATATACCCACTAGTGTAAATGACTTCACACAGTGGAATATGGTGGGGATTCAGGCCCAAGCCGTAGTGTAACAGTAGGGGAGGTGGGGGAAAGACGAATACAGCACTGGGTGCTGAGGTCTGGGTGCAGATTCAAAGGGGCACCAAAATAGGAATCCCCAGGGAGCCAGCAGCCCATGTCTGGGGAGTCTGCATGGAGGCAGCAGCCTGCGCTTGTAGGTAATCCCTTGCTCTCTTCCCCTTTCCCACCACACCAGTGCCACCAAGGTTGCTAACAGTTTACCATATGCCTCTGGGCCCAAGGTCTTTTCAAATCTTGACCTGGCGTAAGCAGTCATGGGAGGGGACTGCTGACCACACTCTGGATCAGAGATTCCCAAACTGTGGTATACATCCCCCTAGGGGTATGCAGGGTATTTCTGTGGGGGTGGTACATGGGAGAGATTGTATAATGGTGGATTTAATATTCATTATAAAGGGGTTAAGATATAAAATGTGTGCTGGTAGGGGTATGCGGGCAACTAGTAAATCTGAAAGGGGGTACACTATACAAAAAAGTTTGGCAACCTCTGCTCTAGTCTAAACCATATTGCGTCTCCTTCCAGGTCAGAGCTCCCTCCCATTTGTTCTCAGATCAAGGAAATCTTGTGTTCCCTCTGTTTGCACTATATTTTCTATTTGAGTAAAATTTCAGTCTCTGGGATTCTGGGATTAACTATTCATCTAGCTATCTCATGTCGTCTAATCTAGACTAGAGATTAGAGCAGGCCCATCGCCAGTGTTTATGTCATTTTCAGAGCAGAACTGTTTATCTTTAAACATCGGCGTGCTGGGAGCTTACTAAGAGCAAAATGCTCAGACGTGTTTGTCAGCAGGACAGTGCCGCATTAGGATATGTAGGGCTTAGAAGCTTCCCTCTGCTCTTCTTGTTCTCATGTCAGCCTTTCCCTTGTATCATCTGGGGGTTTCTTTCTTTCTTTCTTTTTGGTGGAAAACAGCAACGCACTCTC